CTCTCATGGGCACAGACCAGCCCAGGGAAAAACTGGTGGCAGTATCGTTGGCTGGTTTCAGCTGAGCTGCGACTGGAGCAAGCAGGGTTGCCCGAGAGGACTGGCCATCAGGGCTGAGCCCAGACGGGTGGCTCCTCACCGGGACAGAAGCCCAGCAGCCCCACTGGGCGTTAATGTGGCTATCATAATTGGAACGTCACCGTGGTCTCTAAGGCTGCATCTGCACTGCCACCTCTGTGAGAGCGGCCAAGGCTAACTCCCAGGGGGCTTCATGAGGAGGGCAGTTCTACTGAAAATAAACCACCCCAGGAGGGCTCTGATCCTAAAAGAGCAAGGGTTGGTTTGTGGAGAAAAGATGGGGACCAAGGCAGAGGCCACCCTGGGGTGGGGAGCTCAGGTTCTCAGAGTGGTAGGAAGGGGACACCACTGGCACCCCATCCCCCTCTCCTCCCCCACCCAGCATCCCCAGCAGTGCTGGGGACCCAAATGCACATGACACCCAAAGTGGGATGAGGCCCTGCTTCTCACAGGGTCCCAACATGGACAGGGACCTGCTGGGGGAGGAGGCACTTGCACAGTGTGTGCCAGGTCAGGGCGCACAAGCTTGTGTGCCCGCATCCCGCTCAGAGTCCCGGTGCTGCTCAAACTTCCGGAGAATCTACTCGCAGAAGTTTCCAGATTTCATGCTTTTAGATGCTGATGGTAAGGGATACACCATCAAATACTGGGACTGAGGTTGGCAAAAGTAGCACAGAGAGGAGGGAGGGTGCGAGCCGAGCACCTTCCAGGTAAGGCGAGGCTGCCAGCCCCAGGCCTCATAAGCGCATCCTCTGCAGTCAGGGGTGTGCAGAACGCAGAGGCGCCCGGCTGCAGGAGCGAGTGAGGCTCACGTTATGAAGAAGGATGGAGCACACCAGAGGACACAGAGGGCCCAGCCTAGGAGGATAGAGGGGAAGCAGGGCAGCCGGCTCGGGAAGGGCATGACCGCAGGAGGGCACAGAGAGAGGCGAGCTCCAGGGCCCTGGGTTTAGGCTCCCAGGCAAGCGGCTGGTGTTCAGTCACCAGACCTCTAGCCCAGACTACACAAGCCCCATGTGCAAGGCGCGACTACCTCTCTTGGAGACATCATCAAGCTGGACAGAGAAGTGGCAGGTAGAGTCCAGCAGCCCACCAGTGACACGCAGAAAGCAGCCCCTAGAACCCGAGGCCTGACAAAGAGGAAGAATGGAAGAGGAAATGGCACTAGGCACCTGGTGTGTGGGAGGGAAGCTCCCAAATGCACACCTCGATCCTACCCTCGCCCTAACCCTAGCCTTACCCCTAACCCTAACGCCATGCCAAGCCTCTGGCCTTGCTGTAATCACCTCCAGCAGCATCCAAACACTTTGGTGCAGCTGGGTGAGGGCAGCCTCCCGGGCAAGGCACACCTGTACTGGGAGGAATTCCTCTCCAATGATGCAAAACCAGAAGACCAGGGACAGGAGGATGTCCAGCTGGCAGAGCCACCCACAGCTGGTGAGCTGCCCCACGGCATCCCAGAATATGAAGCAGCCGCCATAGCAACAGCAGATCGAGCCAACAGCAGTGGCTCTCAGGCCTGGGAACCCTCGTTAACCATGTCTTCACTGGAGTCAGTCAGGACTTTAGACTCCACCTCCAGATGCAGGCCACAGCAGCCCAAGCTCTGCTCATGGCCCCTCAGAGGGCCCAGCAGTGTCTGGCCCAGAAGGTCACCCAGAGTTCTGGGGGCCTTGGGAGTCTGTGGGCCTTGGGGAGGGGCAAGCTTTTTGGAACCACATCAGAAGCAGCCCCGCCCAGCACCCACGATGGCGTGAGGACTCGCGATTATTCATGACCAGGTCTCAGGCAGGACACTGTGGCCAGGCCCCTCAGAACAGCCTCTGGGTCACCACCGGAACCTTCAAGTCCTGCTGCCACCCAGGACTTCAGTCCAGGGAAATGGCCGCCCCGCCCTCCTCTCTACCCCAGTTCTCGGGGTGAGTCACAGCTTCTGCACTGTCTGCCCAGTGCAGGGAGGGCACCAGGACACGGCGGGCACCGGGCCTCCCCCAAGCTTCTGGGAGCTGGGGAGTCCTCCACACCCACAGCAGGATGTGTGCAGAGGGGTGTGGGGAGGGCGCCGGCCCCCGCCAGGGCCACCTCCGCTTGGTCACGTGCGAAGGCTCCGTGTTCAACACACAGACTGAAGTTCCTGTCGCTTAGCAAACCTGAAAGGCACCATTCAGAATGAGGGGCAGTCTGGCGGGGCTATCACAGCTAGCTCAAGGCCTCCTCCTTTTCCCTGCTTCACTCTGCAAGGGGCCACAGCCCTGCTGGGTCCCCTACAGCCTACAGCCAGGACAGCCCCAAGGCCTGCGTCCTGCCCCATGCCCCACTTGGCTTCTCCTTCCAAGATGGGCTTGTTGTGAGCAGCCGTTGTGCCCAAAGCCACCCACTGAAGGGGCAGGCGGGGCGGGCCATGCCAAGGGCAGAGGGCCATCCCCTCACCAACCGGCAGGAGAGCCCCCGCCCCCACTCCCCGGTGGTTGTGACCTTCAGCCCCCAAAGATTTTCTTTGGTGAATGTGCTACAGAGAAGCTGAATGAACGGTTCAATTGTATCTCCACAGGAACATAACCATGGGGAAGAAAATGGGCATTTATCCAATACTATCTACTACGTGGCTCATACTCAAAATTGCATAATTACTGCAGTGCCTTCTCATTACAAAGTTTGCTGCCCTGAGATCTATCCAAGGCTCACTCCTGTGTCTCCTCCGTGTCTCTTTCCTGGGAGAGATTGTCATCTTCTCTCAAACAACATAGAATTCACAGAGGGGTTCGGGCCAATAGTTCCTGTAGAATGGCCCACATTTGGGGTTCTTCGGCTCCTGCTGTTAACTCAGCTGAGTGAGCACCAGGTGATGGGGTGTGCTATGAGCTGAGGCATCAGCTTGGAGGGAGATGACAGCGGGCCATGCCTGTCAGAGACACCTGGCTGGGCCACCTGGCTGCACGGTCACCCACAGTCCCTTCCGAACCAGCGTGGCCCCTGCTGGTGAGGCTTTGAGAGATGTGAGTATCCCGGGCCACCGTCACCTCTCACCACCCAGACCCTGCACCCAAGGACGGGCCTGTCCAGGCTTTCATGGTACAGAATTCCAGATTAATGAGCTGGGTTATAGAAAACCTTTCCTTCTCCCTCTCACTCCCTCTTTGATTAGCAATATGGTTGTAGATTTTATTATCATTATTTACTATTATTACTGAGGATATTATAACCCACTAAAAGCTATTCATTCCTTATCTGAAATGTTTGGGCCCAGACATGTTTCAGATTTGGGAGTATAGGTTTTTGTCCATAGGTTTTACTGGTTGAGCATCCCTAACCCAAAAATTCAAAATCCCAAATGCTCCAAACCTAAAGCATTTTGAGCACCAAGTAGATGTTCAAAAAGTCATGGATTTTGGAGCATTTTGGATTTAGGATTTTCCAGTTAGGGCTGTTCAGCCTACACTGTTATTACTTTCTTGGGTGAGAGGGAGGGGTGTTGAGACAGAGTCTTGTTAATGTGGCCCAGGCTGGCTCGAACTTGTCGTGATCCTCCTGCCTCAGCCTCATGAGTGCGAAGATTACAGGTGTGCACCACCCTGCCCAGCTGTCATTATTGTTTTTGTTTTGTTTTGTTTTGGCGGTACCAGGGATCAAACTTGGGACCTTGTGCTTCCGAGGCAGGCGCTTATGCTGCTGAGCTTTCTCCCCAGCCCTTCATTATTGTCTTCGGTGCTCCTGTTCTCCCCATGCTGGCCACATGGAGCCCTTCCAGCTCGGCCTCACTTGCCTCTGAGCATCGCCCATGTGAGGCATCCCAAGCCCAGCTGCCTTCTCCCCGCTTCTGCCTGGAACCCACATCCCCCAGGTCCCTCTACCAGCTGTCTCCTCTCACCTTTCTGCAGTCAGGACCTCACCTCTTTGCCCCACTCCTATCCTCTGGCATCCACCATCCCACGACCCTCCAGTGTTTTGTCTTTCATAGGAAGCAGGGAGCAGAAAGGCAGGGTGGGAGGGAGGGGGACAGAGATGGCAGTGTGCCCGGGGACAGTCACTCACAGAGCCGGCTGGCAGGAGCTTCCTCTACCACTGGTGGAGAACTCACTGCCTCATGGCCCTGCTTACAGACTTCTGTATGTCACTTTATTATTTTAGTATTTGTGTCACTTTATATAAACATGTGCACAGGAAGACCACCACCTGGCCCCTGTGATCCTGACCCCTTGTCTTGCCTATCTGTCCCCCTTAGTCCTGCTGCTGCTCAGACTGCAGAGCGCATGCAGTGCTTTTGTTCCTGTCCTTTCTTGCCCACTGCATATCTGTTCTGAGGACGGCAGGTATGTCCAAGCCACCGCTCCAGTCCCTCCTGTCCTCTCAGAGCCTGGCACTCAGCAGGTGCCCTCTGCACCTCGGTGGCACCTGCCCAGCTGTCCCCCGACCCCTCCTCTGTGTTCCCAGAGCCCTCACATGCTGCCGGGCCTAAACAGTGGTGTGACATCGCCCTGCAGCTCACCTGGAAAGCGGTGAGTCCTTCCACGGCAAGACCAAGGTCACACTTGTCTCCACAGCCTCAGCATCAGCTCAGCGCTGGCGCGCACACATTTGTTTGCCGAGCTCCTAGCTCCAGCCAGGAAAGCGTCCTTCACACACACCAGGGTCGCCTCACTGCCCAGCTGGGCTTCCACCAGCCATGCCCAGCCCTGAGGGACCTCTTAGAAGGTCCCTCGACTCAGCCACTCCAGGCTGCCTCAGCCACAGCCCCCGTCACTGAGGCCACCGTCCCCAAGACAGCACAGAGCCACAGTTCGCCGAGGAATGGAGCTTAACCAGCCTGGTGGTAGCAAGGGTTTGACCTCTGGGGGCAGGAACAGAGGCCGGGACACGGCTCCCCTGAGTGGCCTGGTGAGGGACTCTGGGTGTGGATTACTCTGGACACCAAACGGCCTCACCTGCTCCTTCCTCACGATCTTCTTTTCTGCTTGCTCGGGTGCTGGGCTCTCGGGAGGCACAGTGAGGCGTAGTCTGCAGACATTTGCCTAAAGGAGGAGGAGGAGGGCAGAGGCCGATCAGGAAGCAGCGAGGAGCCAGGTGCCCTGGGATCCCCGCAGGTGGCATGGGCCCTGGAGTGGGGCCACTGCACCCATCACACAGGTGACCAGGAGGGTGAGGCCACCCATGCCCAGCCCAGCACAGGTGCCACTAGCCTTTGGCTCAAGCAAATGGCTGGATGACTTCAGAGACTTCAAACCTTTTCACATGGCTCGGAGTTTCCAGCAACCTGGACAGAATAATCTCGCTTCACAGGTGCCAGCCATGCACAGCTAGCAGGACAGAAGCCCAAACGTACACAGCGATGCCGTCTAAGGCCAGGTTTGGCACCCAGGGCAGCGAGGCGCCCTCCCTTTGCCTCGGTATCTAACTCTTCTGCGACAGCGTGTGGTGCTTGATCACACCTTCCTTCCAGGGCACTTTCTCGGCAGCCCTGCCCGCAACATCCAACAGGCGCAAGCTGCTTGGGCCGCCTGGAGGGCTGGGTGTGTGACCCAACGCATACGCATGGCGGAGGCATCTAGCCTCAGTAAGAGGTCCGATGCTGACGTACGTTCCCCTGCGCTAGACACACACTGACCGGCGTGACCCCGCCGAGCGGAGGCATCTCAGGCAGTCAGACTTAAGGACTGAAGGCCGAATGGTGGGCTGGGTGGGTGCCAGCGCCCGCTGGGCATGAGTGTCAGCAGGCGAGGTGCCAGGGCGGGGGAGGGGCAGCTGGAGATCTGTGCACACACTGTGAACGCACACAATGCCACGCAGCGGTTTTGCTTACAAATAGCTAGTGCTAGGGATTTTACGATCTAAAAGAGAGGGAAAAGCCCAAATCAAAGCCAACTGTATTTTCTGAATACAGGCTAGACATAGGCAGTTGGAAAGGCACAGAGGACCAGGAGCACAGCAAGCGTGAGCTGATGAGGCGTCTGAGCTCCTCAGTGGCTCAGCCACACGCTTAGTTATCTGTGGATAAGCCTTCCCCAGGTCTCACCAGCTCGCTACAGGCTGTCAAGACAGGTCACTGAAATATTGGAATAAAGCAGCCCAAGTGACTTTCCCAAGGCCAGGGCTAGGGATGGAGCTGGGAGCAGGGCACTTTCCTAGAGCTCACAAGACCCTGGATTCAATCTCCAGCACAGAGAGAGAGAGAGAGAGAGAGAGAGAGAGAGAGAGAGAGAGAGAGGCTAAATTGTACTATTTCTCTTAAACTACAAAAGCAGTGACCAAAACCAGAACTTTCAAGGCTTATCAGTGTCCCACCAGTGCAAGGGCGCTGGGTCGAGTGATTCTCCCGAGTCGCCCCTGCACTAGGAAGGGCGGGTCCGACAACAGCGGCTAACCACGTGCCCAGTGCTCGCTGTGCGCCAGGCACCCTCTGAGAGCCTTACACTCCTCTCACCCCACTGGGACCCCAGCATTGGTGCTCTCAGAATCCTGCCTTCAAGGAGGACGCTGACCCTCTGCGGGGCCACGAGGATGAAGCAGCAGCACTGAGGCATGCACCCAGGCAGCCTCCATGGCCTGCGCCCTTAGCCCTTGCACTCCTCAATGAAATGCCATGCGGGGTGGCCCGTGGGTAGCACGTGTCATCGCTGAACCTCTGAAAGGCTTGCTGCCGCCACCTCGGGGCTCGGCTCTCAGGAATGCCACTGTCGCCTGTGTGGATTGGACTGTGCCCCCGACGAGTCACACGCTGAGGTCCAACCCTAGTTTCTCATAACACGGCCTTATTAGACACAGGACCTTTCCAGAGGCAGTCAAGTAAAAACGAGGGCACAGGCATGGCCCTAAAACCAAATGACTGGCGTCATTATGAAAGAGGGAAACCAGGACACAGGACGGGCGGGGAGACTTGCACACAGTCATCTGCAAGCGAGAGAAGCCCCAACGGGCCAGGTCCACACAGCCCTCTGATGGGACCGCGGCTGCCGACACCTTAGAGTTGGACTGCCAGACAAGAAATGTACACTGCTGCAGCCACCAGGTGTGTGGCAGTTCTTAGGGCATCCCTAGCAAAGTAACTCCTCCTTCCCTCCTCAGTTCAGCCCAGCCTGAGCAGCGGGCTCACAGATCCGTATTGGCTGACAGGCAACCTCTGAGAGCCCGACCTGCCCAGCCAGGAAGGGGGCCCTCCCCCACCCCCGCTCCCCGTCCCAGCCTGCAGGGATCCTGTCCAGGAATGGCTATCTAGCACACACCCAGCCTCTGTGAGTGTTAGACGTCCCTGCGACCGTCTAGATAATATCATTTCCTTGTCATCCTACATGCTCCACAGTGAAGCTGGTGCACCTGACTTGGTGGCCCTGCTTCTTGTGGAAATGGACAATTTAGTCACCGGATCTAGGACAGTAGTTCTGTGATGCCTTCTGATTGGCCAACTGCCTCAGCCATGTGATCCCAAAGCACCATCTGACTGGCTGATTACTCTAGCCAAGGGATCCCTAGGGGCCTTTTGACTGGTTGGTTACCTAGTCAGTCATTCCTCAGGGTCATGGAAGGGGGCCTCAGGAGTCACCAAGACGTGAGATGGCTGGTAGTTCCTAGTGAGCCTGCCCTGTCCTGCTGGCCCCAGATATTGGTTTTCCTCAGCGCTCCCTCAGATGCTCCCACCCTGAGCTCTGTGTATCCAGCTCTGCCCAAAAGTAAGCACAATGTATAAAATAAAACTAACTTATAAAATAACATGTTGACTTCAGAACTCTGCGGCAGGTGTGCAGGTGCTCGCTGCTCCGCCCAGGGCCCCGCCTCCCCGTGACCCCGCCTCCCGTGACCCCGCCTCCCCGTGGCCCCGCCTCCCCGTGGCCCCGCCTCCCCGTGGCCCCGCCTCCCCGTGGCCCCGCCTCCCCGTGGCTCTGCCTCGCCGTGGCTCCTCTGTCCACAGAAGCGCTTTGATGCAAGCATGAAAGAGCAAGGTCATTATCTGCTAAATGCCGACACACGGCCAATGACTACACCAGCAATTTAGACCCAGCCTGGAGGAGGACCGCACACGCGCTTCCCAACAAGCTGGCCGAGGCACTGCCCCAGACCCAAAAAGCAAGCCACAGAACAGAAAGGTGAAAACGATCGCATTGTTTCCAAACACACCCTAATAACTTGTGTAGACTTGAACAAAAAATATCCTTAAGGAAACCCAACCACTGGTGTTTATCTCTGAGAAATAGTATTTCTCTAATTTGTATGATGACTTTTTTTTTTTTTTTTTTTTTTTTTGGACCTGCACTTGCCAGGCAGGTACTCTGCTGAGCTATCCTTGGCCCACCATTGCTTTTAAAATTAATATCAGTCCAGTTAGAGAAACAGCAAAGACTGAAAGAGAATGTTTGAGCGAGTCAGAAGCCAGTCTTCCCTCCATCCACAGGGCAGTTTCAGAGCAGCAAATGGAACAGTCTAGAGGTCTAGAAAGAGCTCTGAACTCCCAACAGAAATGCCAGGAAAAATAGCTCTGGCTGCAGCTGCTGGGCTGAGCAGCGGAGCCCTCTCTCCAGCTGCTGGACTGACCCAGTGGAGCCCTCTGTCCGCTGGACCCCTGCAGTGGCTCGGGAAAGCCCCCGGGGAGCTCAGCCAGCAGGGCTCCTCTCTGCATTTACGATGCTGATCACCATGGTTTCCTGAAACTCAGGCACAGTCCACAGAGCCGCCGAGAACAAGCAGCACCGGAGTGGCAGGTGAGCAGCTTATTGCCAGGGACCCCCCAGCAGCTGTCTCTGCCCTTGAGCTCTGAACTGTGCAGAGACCACGCATGGAGCACCAGCCCTGCTGCTGCTACTGGGCCAGACAGGAAGGACTCAGGCTTTGGAAGCACCAGTCCTCCCCCAGGGACCAGAACAGGAAGCTGCACACAGCATCCTCATGCCCAGTTGTGGACACAACTATTCGGAAAACAGTTTTAAGGGACGTGTGACTAGGAAACAGCTGTGCCTACAAAGAGTTCAGTCTAGAAACATCCTCCTATGAGGCGAACAGGAGCGCACACAGCCTCGGTCTGAAGCGGGTGGACTTACACTTCCTGAGCTTCCATGAGGTCCCGACACCTACTAGCTATGAGACCCTTGGAAAGCTGCTTAGTCATCAGTGCTTCGGTTACTTGCATTGTAAAATGGCTAATGGTACTGTAGCCTCCACGGACTACGGTGAGGATTACATGAGCCAACGTGTAAAGGGCTTAGAGCATTTCTGGCACGTACTAGAGTATCTGCAACTGTTCTTCATTATTGTGGGAATATGGAAAGAGAACTTTAGCCTTCAGTGCAGGTGGGAATGTTCAGGAAGGAAGGCTCCCAGGGTGACCCTTGAGCTGGGTATAGAAGGACTCTCCGGGCCGCGAGGCGTGGCGAGCCCACTGCCTAGCACATGCTGCTACTGCACAAGCCCCTCCCGGCAGGCCAGAGGCGTACTTGTTGGCATATCCCGCCGCCCAAGCTAGAGGAAGAGAGGAAAACGGAGAGACAGGCCAGAGCTAACTCTCAGAATGCGCGAGTGCCACACGGAGAAGAAGTAAAGGCTCTGGTCGAGGACAAGGAGGAGCCGCTCAAACCTTTGGAGGAAGAGCCTAACTCCGCTCACTCCAGTAAGCAGCTGGCAGCCACTGAGGCCCCCTGTGTTCTCTGTACTTCAGAATGGGTGGAGGGAAAGCTGCAGGTGGGCAGTGGCAAGCAAGCTTTGTTCATTCTGGCTTTCACAGCCCTTGGCATAGTATTCACTGCTGCTCAGTGAATGTCTGTTGGGTTTTTGTTTTGTTTTCTGACTTTTGTTTTTTTAAAAAAAAGAAAAAAGAGAGAGAGAGAGAGACTATATCTAAAACCCCTGGGAGATTCTTCCACTTTCTTCAAACCAACCCCCAGGGAGGAGCAGACAGCACCCAGCCTCTTCCACAGGAACAGGCACAAGCGAGCCTTTGTTAGCAGCTCAGCACAGGGAGCTTGGTCTTCTGGGGCCCCTCTTCTGACCCCTCACCTGGGGGCCCCCTGGGGACCCAAGTGCCACCATGGGCTCAGCAGGCACTTCGGCTCACACCAGGGAAAATAACACCTCAGCTAATTAGGGGTTTGCTTAGCCATTTTCAAAGATGAGTCTCCCTAAGGAAATTAGCCACGATATTCGCATTTCTCCTGGCCCGCTCCACTGACTGCCGTGAGGGTGAAGGGAAGATTCCCTCGGCTGGGCACAAGTGTCGAAGCTCTGGAGCCACCGGCCAGGCTGTGGGGACTGGCACGTGCCCACCGGGTCAGCCCCTCAGATGTGCACGTCCCTGAACTTGAAGCCTGATCCCCTACGTCGGGGCAGGGCAACCTTCTGCTGTAAAGGGTCAGATAGGAAACGTTCAGTCTCGTAGCTAAGCCTGAAAACCACAACGCTTAGCTCAGAGACACACAATGCAGGCGGGGTCATGCCACGGGTGGGGGCTGGCCTCCCCATCCACCTGCTCTTTCCCAGGTCAGGGCTGCAACCTCAGACAAAACCCACTGTAGGAGGAGCAACCTCTCCTCCCTGCTCTCTCTGGCTTAATTCTGAGCTGGGCACACAATGCACCTGAATGCCAAGTCCAGAGAGAAAGCGTAGCGCACAAAGCCAGCAGTGTGTCCTGGAGAGTCTGACCCACAGCCCCACCCGCACCAGCACCTTCCCCTCCCTCCTACAAGGCCCCGGGGAGCTTTCTGGAGCCCGGATCCAAGAAGGTCCCTCTCTCCAAGAAAGCTGTCGGGAGGAGCAACGCTGAGGAAATGTCCTGGGCTGTGTTCAGGACCGCCCGGAGGCCTCCCACGAAGTTTGGCCCCGCTCTGCCAAGCTCCTGCCGAGCTGATCTGGAGTGCAGCCTGGGCACAGCTACTTGAAGCTTCCTGGTGATTCCATGCAAAACCGAAGAAATAAAACTCCAGCTGTATGACAGGGTGAGGCCAGAGGACATCTGGAGGCTCTCCAGGACCGACAGCCTCCTCACCTGTGCCCACCATGACACCTGTTTCCTGCCCAGATGGGTCACGGGCCAGGCTGGCTGTGCCCCAAGGCTCACAACCTGGAGTCCCAACGGGATGCTAGCTGGCTTCATCAAGGCCCCGAGAGCCTGCTCCAGTCGTAGGGACCAAGAACAAGCTGCAGGGAGGATTCAAGACAGACTCACAAGGACAGCGCTGGTGTCTGAGCAGGCAGGAAGAGGCAGGGTGAGGAGCCCTGAGGCCAACAGAGGGGCACATGGGGGCTCTGGGAAGCAGGACTGACAGCATCCCAGCAGGGGCCCAACTCCTTCCCTAGAGCAAGGAGAAGGCTCCTGAAACAGAGGAGCTAGGAAATGGGTTTGCATTTTTAAAACTCACTGTGATCATAAAAAGTGGGCCAGAGTCAGCAATGTGACACATTTAGGAGCTAGCACTCAGCCAAAGAGAATGAGGCAAAGGCCCCACGTCCTTCCCAGGTGACTGCAGAATGTCACAGAGCTCCACATACATGACTCTGTCTGTGGGAAGGACAGGACATGAACACCTGTGACAGTCGGGTAGCAGTGGGGTTTTCCTTGGTTTGGTTTCTCCATGCCATGGAGGAGCCATGACACCAGCAACAGTGCCACCAGTCCCTCTGTCAACAGACCTAGTGCTGGAGAACACCCCTGATGGCCGGGTGCTCGGCTCCACCCGCAGGGACAGCTTGGAGGAAGCCACAGGTGCTACGCCTGGAGCACAACCGGGCCACACGCTGGTCTTCCACAGTGAAGACTCACACAGCAATTAATTTCTGTTTACAAAATTCCTTTCCAACTCACATTATAATGTCAATATTTTAAAAACTGCCCCCTCCATTCCCCAAGGTCATCATTCTGCCTATGGTTATTCCCCAAACAACGTACCTCCCTGCTGTTGCCACAGATGAAGCTATTTTTGGTGCACAACTGGTTTGAAGGCAGAGCTTTTTTTTTTTAAATTTCACAACTCCCGCTGGTTGGCACCCACAACTGCCTGTCAGAGTTTTGTTTATCAGCTAAGAGAAATGCCTCCCCCCACCTGCTTGTCTCCCCTGGAGAGATGATTTCAGATAAGAAGGAAGTACAGCTGCAGGTGGCATCACTGAACAAGACAGCGGGTGGCACTCTGGCTGGCCACGCTCCCCTTGGGCGCTGACTCATAGGTCTAGGGCTCAGTCACCTGTCACCACCAGCACCGGGTGGCTTGGACGCCTGGGCCAACACAGCCTGCTCTCCTCCCCGCCCCCAAGCTGTGAACTCGATAAGCGCTGGGAACGGAACAGAGGACTCATTTTAACACCCGGTGTGTCCTGTCCAAGGTCACCAGCTGTCCATCATCAGGGACAAATGAGGGAATGCTCCAGGCTTTATGGAGATGTTGCAATCTCAGGGACACTTCCCAATTATCTGTTCATCCTGAAAGTTTATTATCAAGACATTCCACTCTTCTTTTCCTAAAAAATATGTGCTTGTCCCCAAGCAGATCCACTATGTCCCTGTCATATATCTCATGTCACAAGACATGGAGATAAATGATAGCTTCTCCTGTCTTCATCCCAATATCATCAGCTGGTCTACAAGCTGTGGCTTGTGCTGCGGACCGACCTCATGCCTGTCCTGCAGTGAGGGCCTGCCTGAAGAACTCTTTAACTTCACTGAGCTCTGAGACCACTCTGCCCACTCCGACAGTCACAGCA